AAAAACGCAGACAGAAGAAGCCTTAAGGGCAACCTCCAACTAGACCATCAGCAAGGAGATCTGCACAAAAGATCCCCGCCGGAAAAGCGACGAACAGCCACCGAAACCACAACGAAAGCACTCAGCTCCATCAAGCAAAGAGAAGGGAAAAGACAACCCCTAAATTTCCTCCAGGGGCAGAGGAAAATCGATCATGGTCCGCTCCTCCAACTCATCTCCGCCAATGGAAACGTTGCTGTCATTGTCCGAATCCCGGTCATCCTGGGCCTCGCGAACCACCTGCGAAACACCATCGGAAAAGGCACGTTTTCCCAGAGTCCAAGTGATGTATCCCTCGTCCCCGGGAAGTAGGCGAAGGAGCCGCTTGGAGAACCGCGCGGCCTTCTCCTCCTTGGTATCGAGAGGACTGGGAGCAGGAACGGAGGGAAGCTCAGAGCGGCGGGCCACGAGAAACGCGTTGTAGTCGGCATGGTTTTGCTGGCGAAATTGTGGTTAGAACATACCGAAACCCACGATCCATAAACATACCTTGACATGTGCCTTGTTCCCGGTCAACCGATGCTCCTTGCGGTGAGCCTGTTCCGAAACGTCGAAGCAATGCGCCAGTTCCTTCATGAATTCGGCGACCTTTCGGCGGACCTCCGAGGGATATGGCCACTCCACAAACTGTTCCGGATCGGCCGGGTCAACCGTCCAGAACACCCGCCGAGCCCACGCGAACACGAGATTCAGGTCCTGACAATCTCCCAGCATCGCAGTCGCGGCCTACAGAATCATCAGCTTTTGTCTCCAAAGAACTTGGCGAAACCCACAGGAATACATGTCGAAGCACGGCCGGAACACTGCTTGCACGAAACCGAAGCCTTGGCATCGCGAACACACTCCACAGCGAAAGGCAAGCCCAGGGTCACGTCCCACTCAGCGATCGTCGTACGCAGACAGTGCATACACCAGAGGATTATCATGAAAACAGGGTTGTCCAGGAGAGGACGAGCAGTAGTGCGGGTTCCAGGAGGCATCGTGAGGTTTTCGATAGCGAATAGACAGTGAAACGATGGTGAAAGGGTGCGCCTTGATGAGGGTGTAGGAAAAGAGATGGAAGAGGATGAAGGAGGAAGAAGAAAAGGAGAGGGTGATGTTGGCGATGTCAACAAAGAAACGCGTTTCCTTTGTTTGCCCCTCCACCAGGCAACCCCCCAGTGTTGACCTTCCCTCTTTCCAGCCTACACGCTCCTTCCTTATTTGACTGCCACTCTTTATGATTGTTTACGCGTCTGTTTACCTCGCTTGAGGGCAAGCGATCCTTGGAGGGAGGATAATTGTTATGATATATCCTGGCATGAGGTTATTCCCAAGTGTTGGTGCCTCAGGCTTCCCCGGCCTGATAAGCCGGCAGGCCTTCCCCATGTGTTGGTGCATCAGGCTTCCCGGACCTGATAAGCCGTCAGGCTTTCTGTAGAGGTTCGCTGGGGCTTCGGCTTCAGTACGTGTACGAACTCCTGCAGGGAACACCCTTGACAGAGGTTACACAAGCCTCGTGTTTCACCCCGCTCCCATTTCCCTACCAAGGATACATCTCCTTCCTGTTTGAGTGATGAGACTGTATATAAATTGACCCATGTTGAAGAGGTTTTGCGATCCTCAAGAAACAGTTCTTGACCTTTCTACACTATTGACTTGGCTCCATTTCTCCTACCTGATTGACAGGCCTCTATCCTGACTTATAGAGTATATCCTTACACTAGCCCTAAAGGTTACTAGTCGTAAAGCTAAGCTGCTTATAGAGAATCCGATCCTAGCTAACCTAGCTAATATAGCCTAGCTGCGTAGTGCTAAAGCTAACCTTTATACTGTACGTACGAAGGTCTAAGATCCACTAGAACAGGGAACTAGTGCTACGGACTATAAAGCTCTTCATAATCAGAGAGACCTATTCCTAGAAGCTTTTGCTCGTACGGCTACAGAGATACTAGCTAAACAGAAGGGGAGCGGGGGATAAGGAGTTAGGAGAGGAGGGTATAACTGGTAAGGAAGGACTCTGGTATCCTTTATCTTCGTACGAAAGGCAATACTTAGGATCGTCGAGCGGGCTAATTAGATCAAAATCGCCGTTGCTAGTGCGATCTCTACTAAAGTGCTATATAATCTGCTCTACGTAGGGATTAAGCTAGAGAGCCTAGCCTAGGACTATAAAGCAAGTAAGCTTGATAATCTTAGAGAGGATAGGAGAGAAGGAATCCGGGGTATACCAGCCCGTACGAGATTAGCTAAGCACTGCTAATACGCAGACAAGAGTACATTTATACTTATCCGCCCCGACCCGCTAATTAAGTAGCTTAAGACAAAAGCTAAGGCAGGCCTTCTTAATTAGCTAGAAGTGAAAGGGGGAGGATATAGTAGAATAAGCAGGGCTTATACGATCAACATCACTCTTATATAGATTAGGGGATCGGGGCCGGGTTACTAGAGACTAGAGGGCCTGCTATACTTTTCGTTAGCGGTGGTTAAAGTAGTAGTAAGGGTAAGCAGGGTAGGAGGGCTTTATAGGGTACTGCGTACGAGCAAAGAAGCAGAAAATCTGTTGCTATAGTGCGATATAGCGAGTGATAGTCTCTGCGTCTATATACGCGTAGAGCGGGGTGTAGGGGGCCTAGTCTATCTCGGTTCGTACGACCTCTACCCGGATAAGGTAGCCGCACTGTTTCGCGATCTGCTACGCTGTACGAGCTATATTCGCTATAGTCTAGTGAATCACCTAGATTAGGTCTAGGGGATCCTCCTCGGGTAGCTTAATTAAGGAGTAGAGGGTCTCCGGGAGCTAGCCCGCGAGATATTCGGACCACCGCGTACGACAGAGCTATAATATAGCCTTGTTAAGCTCTACGGTCTCTACTGTACGATTAGAAGGTTGAAAGATCTATTAATGCTGCTCTTCGAGCTAGTCAAAGAGATTATCGACAGTAGAGGATATTCGCTCGGGGTCTGCTAATTCTAATTGTACAGGGTCTATAACAGCAAAGTAGTGAGAGTTAGGCCCTTAGTGATAGAGACGCTAGTAGGTAACAGAGCGAGTATAGTTCTTTAATATCTCTTAGGTAGAGAGAGTAGAAGGAGAATTAGATAATTAAGAAGAAGATTAAGTACGCTATTGATAACGAACTCGCTAGTGCTCCTTTATACCTTTTATCGTATAACAAATATATCGGTATAAGGGGGTACGCTAGTATTAGATACTATCTCGGAAAACAGGAAGAATATCAAAAGGTAGCGGCTAATAGGGGATTAGGTTAAAATCAAAGGTAGATAGTAACTAGTGCTAGAGTGTAGAGAGATATTCGTGAATCTGAATAGCTGTACGAGGGGAATAGGAATAAGGAGAACAGCGAAGATAGGCTATAACTTGAGTGAGTCGTACGGCTGATTAGTAGTGGTAACAAACTAGAATAGGAAGGGATAGAAGGAGAGTGAAAAGCTCTTGAGTTAGAGAGTGAATATTAGTCTCTATTTTCAAGTATAAAAATTAGTGATAATCAGCAAGTGCTAGGAAATAATAAAAAGATTGTATTTAGGGGTCGTACAAGAATAATTAACCTTAGAAAAAAAATCAGTGTGGGTCTAAATAAGAAAAGTGGGCCCTCCCGGTCGCACCCCATCAAAAAGAATTAAGGGTTATAGGCAATTTTTGGCTACATCGTACGACTCCTATAAGAGACTGCAGAAGCTAAAAATGAAACTGGGTATAGATTATATATCAACTTAAAGTATAGCGAATTTTCAAGCTGATCGGACGAGAAAAAGTGCTTGCAGTCAGGGTAGGAAAAGAGCGTGCAGTGAGGGTGGTGGGTCCAAATTCTGCCCATACATAAGGCCTCCACACCGCCATGCAGTGAGCCTCACTGCACCAGGTCCCTTGGGATAGTGCACACTCGCTTGCTTGTGCACGCCGAAAGATTTATGCTGACCCCGTAAATCCGACAACTACCCTTAGTGATAGGGTGCCCCCTCTAGTAAGGATAAAATACTAAATCCTTCGATTACTCCGGAACTACTAGGCCTACTAGGCTACTGATACTATTAATATAATGCCCGAAGCGAGGGCTATTTAGCTATAATAATCCTGATTAGTCAGCAGTCAAAAGATTTCTAAACCTATTCAACCTCATTTTCACCAAGGCCCGGGGGCAGTCACGTGACGGGGATAACCTCACCTAGTAGAAGGGCCCTTTACCTACCTAGTGTTTCTTCCCCGGATAGAATTGCATAGCTAGATAGCTAGATATCGCGAAGTAGGCTGGCTAGCAACTGGCGAATAGAGACCACTAAGGCCTGATTGCTAAGGCCACGAATCTAGGCGTAGCCACCCTAGCAATCTGGTTGGCCGAATCGGGTATAGCCTACCCGCCGGCCCTGGCCTTGGCATCCCCCATCAAAAAAATCCCAGCCAAAAGGCCCCCCTTAGGGTAAGGCCCTTCCACGTAATAATCCTGGAATATTATATGACATTTAGATAGAACCCGCTATCGGATGAAAAGATTTAAAAGACCCGATCAAAAAATATCAAGATTTCGGGTACTTAGGGGGGGGGGGGGGGACGTATCAACTCGTCCCCCCCCCCCTGCCAAGACTTTTTTACTATGGTCCCCCCCCCCGGGGACGGGCCCGAATATGTTTAGGGCTACATAGTAAAGTGATACAGGGTAGCATCGACACGCACCTGCTATTCAACGACACAGTAACAGGAGCACGCTGTGGAATTGATAAGCACTTGAATATCAACATGCGATCATGGACTTGGACTTTCTAACTTCAACATTGATAACAACAACGACGGTGAAAGGATTCAAATCAAAATCAAATCAAAATCAAATCAAAATCAAAAATCAGAAATCAAAAATCAAAAGCCAAACAACTTTCAAGTCATCCATTGTCACCTTCTGACACCAAGAAACTGGCAGTTATTGCTCCTGCCAGCGAGGTACCTTGCGTGAGTGGCAACCTTTCTAGAAATGATCAAACTTGACCGACATGAGTCGTCCCTGGTATTTCTGGTCAACGCCCTGCGAGCCGACAAACATATAGTCGACAGGGATGCAGTTGCCATGCGGGACACGGACTCCGGACTTGGTCGTGTAGTAGCCTGATTTTTCGTCAAGGAAGTCGATCCGCTTGTTCGACGGGCAGCCAGTCTACAGGAGTAGCAGCGTTAGTAATGAGGCCCCGAAAAGTAGTCAAATCCTCCCCAGAATGACGTACCTCAGAGTAGGCCGTCATCTTGCGTCGCCAGGACAAGCCAGTTCCACGGCCAAGCCAGATACTCTCCGTGCTACTGTTGATATCAATGCATCTTCCACTTTTGATGTTGACATCGCGCTGCGTCCGGTATCTGTCTCCGTCGCCAAACTTGCCATCACTAGTGAGATGTCAGCTCAGTCTCGGATAAAATGCTTTCGTCTGAAATGAGTGTCTTACCATGTTTCGCTGGTGTATTGGTCAAGTTTGGAGCGCGCGAAAGCCTCAATGCCCTGGAAGAAGAGAGCGAATGAAATGAGGAAGGGGATGACTGAAGTGAACTGCATGTTGGCGGTGATAAAAGGTTGTACCAAAAGGATTTTGGAAACTGAAAGCAGGTGTGTTGATTGGAGGCTTGATTGCTGAGCTGTCTGGGTTGGATGATTGCTGTTGATGGAGAGCTATTTCCCAGGCCACGAGCAGGTCTTTATAGAATTGCTCCAGGCAGATGAAGATATCCACTGCCTCACGATAGAGCTCTCCCAAACCAGGCTAAACCTAGCAAGGCTGCGAGGCAGACCCGAATTGGGGCTGGGATTTTTGATAGCTTCGTCTTCGCGACAAATCAAAATATTGTGTTAGATTGAGAGGAATATCATGAACATGGTAGGTGATCATTCCTAAACAGTTGGCAGTGTAACATCAGGGGAAAACGGGCATTGTATGGAGCACTTGCTGCAGATGTAGGCCTCGAGATAGAACCGCAAGAACCGCGTACCACCCCGCCCCGCCCCTCAGCGGGGCGGTTCTTGGTCACGAAGTTTAGACCCGCGGGGCGGTTTTAGGAGGGGACAGGTTGCGGGTCTATGAGGGGCGGTTCGTGGTTCAAAAGTTTGAACCGCCCCGCCCCATCTCGAGGCCTATGCAGATGCGAGTCATTATGATACTCTGCCCCCGGGGCGTAGAGGATCGCACATCCTGGTCAGGCTGGGAGAAGGATTCAAACAATAATCGCTCATACACATGAATTGGGCAAGGTTTCAAGAGAACTCAGTGACCTGGGTGATTCTAGGGCGAACAGACGACGGCCCCCCGTTTGAGATATGTACGGATGGTTTCACAACTTCTAGTGCATGAGATTAAGCAATCCATACCCCACAAAGATCGGATCTGTAGCCAATCGTACGGATTCCAATCCCAATTGCTAAACTATCACCTTGTCCAATGGCGATGATCGCCAAGATCAGGCTAAGGACCTGGTCCATTGGAAGGGTTCTTTTTGGGGCCGCGGCCGCCCCATCCTGCCTGTGGTCCGCCCCCGGCCCGGAATTCTTGGCCCCTCTATCCATATTAGGAGGATCTCGAGACGCCAAAAATGATACTAGGCAATGAGGCGTTCTAGCTTGGCACAACGAGTTACTCTATCTTGATTGCTTGAAGCGGTATTGTGTCAGGAGATCGTCAAGGTTAGCCTTGTGGGGAAGTAAAATGCTTCCTGTTCAAGGCTGACAAGGCATCTCGACGAGATTGTATTCTCTGGCCCAATACTTGAAATGCCTGTATGATTAGACTGTTTTCAAAGATCCCCAGAAAAACATAAATAGCCTGGCTGTGTCATTCACTCAGGCAATTCATACTCTCGAAATCTTCACCATCCACCTACTTTGCTGATTGGGTACCTCTCATCGAGAAAATCTTCGAGAATGTCGCCCTTTCTCTATTATCTTGCTCTCCTTCTACTCTCCGGCCGTGGCCTTGCTGTAACAATCAGGGCCTATTGGTCCGATCAATGCGGTGATGGCCCTGTCGGACGCTGGTCAGGAACCAACGGATTCTGTAGCAATATTGCCCCCGACACTTGTTGTATGTTTTCGCCTACATCGGCTACTATGCCCCCTGGCCAATGGAGTGGCAACACACGCTCTGTTGAATGGACAGGATTCAATGAATGCCAGCTTCTGATATGGCACGAGCCAAATACCCGCAACGCCCCACCTGGTACATCCCGACACAATTGTGGTGGTCAGATTCGTGACTCCTATTCCTCTGGCTCACGAGCACATAACCAAAGGCTGTGTATGAAATCCACGTATGATATCGCACGTCACGGGCAAGTTCATGATGGGGCCTTATGGTAAGTCCTGGCTAGATTTATTTCAGTCTTAATGCATTTTGCTTCAGGCTTACTAACGCAAGTTATGTGCTCTAGGAAGGACCTTACGAAAAAGCTCAAGGATTTCGGTTTGGTCGCCGCAAAGCCAGGGTGTGTCTTAGAAGAGAAGGATTATGACTCTGACTTATCCTCTGTGATCGCCGACATAAGGTCACATTTGAAAAATCCTGGCAGTTTATCCGGTTCAATGATCTTTGGCTCCATGAGTGGTATGCGCAAGAGACGCGACGAGCGGCGCGAGGATATCAAACTAGAACGTTCTCTGGAAGCTGCACTTTTCAAGACTAAATGCGAAAACGTTGTTTATGCCACTCACTGGGGCTGGACTCCGGGAACTGGAGTTTGGGTGTTGGACGGGTCCAAGGAGAGCCATGAGCGTCTGGCGAACCTGCCGGCTACTTTTGGGTGGAACCACAAATTGAAATTGGCTGGTGCTACTTACTATGATCACTGTGCGTGTGCCCTCCACTACACTGCTGATGAGATTTCCTTTTCTCCTCCACATGACTGGATGATTAATGACTTGAGATTATAGGGGCGGAGCGTCTTGAAACCCGAGAGGAGATGCTGCGAGCTGGATTCACGTTCACGGAGGATGATATCAAGCTCGTCAAGGCCAAGCGATCAAGTGGCGAAGATGCACCCGTTGACGACGTGTTCTCTTTGATCAACCACAATGCTACCTTGCCACTGGACAGTCAAAGCCAGTCTGATATTAAAGAGAGATCCAACGATCTCCCTTCCCGTGACAGCTTCCCGCATATTACCGAACGCTCTTCTGACGAAGGGTCCGTGGATGATGATGGTGAATATTCTCAAATTGAGCAGCGATCTGGCAACGTTCCTGTGGATGACAGTTTCCCCCATATCACCGAGCGCTCATCCGAAGACGGGTCTGTGGACAACGATGATGAATATGCTCAAATTGAGCAGCGATCTACCAACATCCCTTCGGACGACAGTTTCCCTCACATCACTGAACGCTCTTCTGAGGAAGGGTCTGTGGACGATGATGATGAATATTCTCAAATTGAGCAGCGATCTAGCAACATCCCTCCGGACGACAGTTTCCCTCACATCACTGAACGCTCTTCTGAGGAAGGGTCTGTGGACGATGATGATGAATATTCTCATATTGAGCAGCGATCTAGCAACATCCCTCCGGACGACAGCTTCCCTCACATCACTGAACGCTCTTCTGAGGAAGGGTCTGTGGACGATGATGATGAATATTCTCATATTGAGCAGCGATCTAGCAACATTCCCTCGGACGACAGCTTCCCCCACATCACCGAATGATCCGGACTACATTAGCCCACAGATCACCATGGCTTGATTAAAGGTAGCCATCTCTCAGAGTTGTTCGAAGCATGATTTCCATTAAATTGCCGCCGTTTTCCTTGCTTGCTTTTCCTCTGATCTCCGTGCGCTGTGCTTTTTGAATTTTGCATTGTTCCTCAATTTCTTTAGTTCAGTCGCTTGATGTTAGGAATAGAAACACTTTCTGCTTTCGAACGTTGAATCTATCTTATGTGTTCAGGCTAGAGGGGTCCCAGAACAGGGACTGTCGATGTAGATAAATCTTCCAACATGATCTGGTGAGCATACAACCTGCCTTCAACCCCTTTTCAAATGCGGCGGCCGTGGAACTACGCACAGGAGAAGAAGGAAGAAAAAAGAGGAGGGAGTAAGAGAGGCCTCAAAAGCCCAATACGGGTATGTGAGCTAATCTACAAATTTGAACTAGCCTCTAGGGCTCCGTAGTTGCCGCGCAAAACAACCTGCTGCCGCGGCAGTTTCTGGCTTATCGAGGTGTGCCGCGGGAGCCCCCCGGCCCTTTATCAGGAAGATGACGCGGAGATAGCCCATGTGTAGACTGTGTAAACTATTTACTGACCAGGAAGATCTACTTCCCGACTCAATCCTCTTTGTGCAGGACTAACCCGGAAATTTCCGTCATCGGTGTCCTTTAAGGCCTTCTCCGTCTCTAGAGCTCGATCGCCCTTCGTCATCACTCATGAGCATTTTAGTTTCTCTATTTATTCCTGTGCTGCCTTATGCTTGCTTCCTGTGCGCGTAGCTATCGTTAGAGGATATCAAGACTCCTTCCTATGGACTGAGCCAACACCAACCTATTCAAGTTACAAAGATGAATTCGTGGGTTCGATGTAATTCATGTAGTGCCCCGGAATTAGACATAGCTTGGAAATAAATGAGTTTGTTGATCAACTACTCTGCGGGAATACCTAGCGTCCCTCATATCATCACCAACTTATCTTCCTGAGAGCTGCTCTCCAAATAGTCATCTCTCACAAGTTCCCCAAAACAAAAGCTCTAGAGCACGCAACCTCCATTCTCAGATCTTTGCATCTTCCAATCCAAAGTTCGATGCAGTTCGGAGTACGGACATTCTCTCAAAGAAAGGTCGGTGTCCAAAGCCAGTCTTGAGTGAGGCCTCAATGGCGGCCTTGCTCCACGGACAGTTGCGCCCTATAATCATACCCATTAGCGTGTGAAAGCCCTGGAAAGATTTGCAAGTAGACTTACAGTGGCTATAATGAATGGCACCACATCTTTCCAGCGCCTCATGCCACAGCAGAAAGTCTCTGGCTAGAAGACGTTGAAGGTTATTAAATATTTCCGGCGAGCCCTCGAGGACCCAGACTCCATCGTCTTTGTCCCAAGCAAAAATGACCTGGTCGTCGAGGGGGACCTCTGCAGCCTGATCTTCCCAGAATGAGAGCATATTCTCTGTATTTCCCCAGAACATAAAGTACGGTTTTCCTTCATCGTTGCCCGTGGCGCAGGCCGCTCTGAGATTGGTGGTAAGGAAGCGCCTCCATTCACGGTAGCCGGCCGGTTCCACGGGTGGAGGATCTAGCTTGAGTTTGGGTTCCATGGTTGGTCTCTGGGGTTGATTCTCAAGACAACCTTACGAGACGACAAAAGGTCAACAGAAAAGGAAAATCAGAGTCTGTCGGGAGAGAAGGAGGTAAAATTAAAAAGAGGGGGAGGTGATGAGAGGATCTGCTCTATTATTCATATGCGCCCGTCGGTTTTGGCCCCGTTCAGCCTTGACCAATTAGAAAACCGCCCCCGATACATTTGTCCCAATCATTGAGCATGTCAGCTTCAACGAAACAAGATCATGTCATGAGTCAACCTAGCGGACCAACGGATCATGAAAATCAACCAGAGATCAGCAAGCGAGGCCCCAATTTATTCGTCAGAATGGTACGTATTCCGGTCTGACTACCCCTCGGCCCATTTCAGTCACTTTCAGAGAAGTAACCGGCCCCTTACAAATATTACATATTTTACGGACCCTCGCTCCGTAAGGGGCCGGTTAGGTAGCCTATGTAAATGGCTCGGGTTAATAGCGATTGATATTCGCTTCGATGTTAACGATTTCATTTGCCAACAATCAGTCGGGTGTTTAATTTCTAAGATAAGTCTTCTGTTTCGTGGTAGGGATGCCTATTTCTGTATCTTTAGGACACGAAAAAAAAAAAAAAATATGAAGTACCTGTTCCGTTGGGTATGAGTTTACTGATGATCATCTCGTGATCTTCGCAGTCATGGGACAGGGCGCCGTTGATAGAGGCAAAAATAGTCAGCGATAAAGGCCAAACCCATCTATGTATTTTCAACTAAATCCGGCCACTCCTGTGGTCTAGCGCAGTCAGATAAATAGCGTCTCGGTATGGCTATTATCTGGTATATAGTATATACTATATACTGCAATTTGTTGTGGTTTGTACCTACCTCGGTACGTCCGTTTTGTTCCCCCTCAAAAAATTAATGCCTTTCCTCTCCAACCGAGCAGCACATCTCTGAGCTCGTCTTCATCCCCGCTACAAATGTAATAGGTAGATGTTCCTTATTAAGGGCCCATCCCATATGTACCCCGCGGCGGGCCCGGCTTCCGGTCGATTCAAGTCTATTGCCCTGGCCAAGACCGCCGGCAGCCGCCGCCGCGGCTTTATCAAGCATCTGGTCAAGATTCCTAGGATCATCTTCGCCAACGCCAGTGCCATCGACGGCGCCACTGGTCGCATCGAGGTTCATACGATCTTGACCCTCGACGCCGAGATCCATATTCTGAAAGATATTGCTAACGTCGATATTGGATACCCGGGAAGGCGGGGAGACTGACGCGACGCCAGTGACGGACGATGACCTCTGCGCGGAGGGGATCCTTTTCAGAGATTTTGGGGACATTTTGGTGTTGGAGGGAGAGCGCGCCACGGAGGGAAAGAGCTGTGCAGCGAGGTATCGCTCTTTAGTGGGATCAACGGGGTGACAAATATTTTGGTCGACGGCGAAGGATTCAGGCATTGGTGCGCAGACGATTGTCGCTGCGATGTCTAGTGCGAGATCACCGCTGCCCGCTTGAGTTTGTTGTTTCAACTCGTCGACTAAGGCTTCCAGGACGCGTGCAGAGCCGAGGATGCGCTGTGCTGCAATTATCTGGCGGTGGGTGTAGGACTGCGGTGGTAATGAGATTTCTGAATTTGCGCTCTACAAGGTGAGCGACAGGAGAGTGCCGCGGATAACTACCCAGGAAACCACCGGCGGCTGGAGCAGCCGATATCTTAAGCTCGGAGCGCAAACAGCTGCTAGTACGCCGGAACGAGAGATCAGGATCGAGGGCGTCGAGGATGGGTTTGATATTTAAAATCTTGCCGATATTCTGCCGGGCTTGGTGGCGAGTCCCGATATCTATGAGCTGTTCCTCTAATAGGCGAGGCGTAATATTCAAGACGGTTTTGTGAATGGCTTGTGCCTCGCCGGAGATGGAGCTGGGTTTGATCAAGGAAAGTAGGGCCTTCAAGGGGATTTCGGGCTTAGTCTCGGATTGCTAGATATAGTTGCTAAGCCAGGTTAGTGAGACAACAAGGGATAGGAGCAAAAGGGCTCGAGAAGATCTAACATATAGTTAGGATATGCAGTATAATAAGCAGGTAGTTGTACGACTCACACTCAAATCCTCCCTTTAACGTTTCAACGTCTATCTTACCCGACTCTCTATCTTACCCGACTCGCAGGCAGACAGACTCTGATCGAACAAGGTCGCCACCAGCATATAGAACTCCTGGGGACTACACGCGGATATAGTCTCTTCGTTAATACCCTCGGTAATGAATAAGGCACCGATCCACGCCCCAAGATCCTTGTTTTGCTTTTTACTTAGCTCGCTCAGCTTCTGGCTGCAAGTGCCACAGTCTAGTAGTATCAACAAGAAAGAGTCATTGCTTGAGATCCCTATATCAACCGGGCTTAGGTCGTATCGATATTTAAAAACAAGCGCTAGGAGGAGAATGCTGCCAAATTTATCGTAGACCGGCTGGTTCTCGCCTTGATCTTTATCCTATCTCTAGGAATCAAGTAGTGAACAAAGGGGTTGCAGCGCCTACTTTGTAGTTCAGAACAATAGGAAGACATCTAGTGTCTGGGGGCGTCGAGAGAGGGAATTGCAGATATTCTTAAGAGTCATAGTTTCTTTTTAGTTATAGAGGTTAAACATAACCTAGACTATTCAATTAGCCGTAGAACAGCATTGAAAAGAACAACTGCTGTCACAAACCTCTGTAATAACACTAACAATAGCGCCGGCATTTCCCTCTATCGATGCAATCTTACCGATAAATTGCTCGGCACGTTCAGGGCTATTATTAATTTAGGAGACAAGATCGTCCTTCTAATAAGGGCTACTAACTAGTGCAGTCTGCATAGGATTCTCTCCGAGCAGCCGCTCTATACTAGATTCTTGGATGAGCCGATAGGATACGCAAGTAAATAGAAACTCCTAACGCGCATCGGAGAGAATGCTACTCCCTTTCATAGAGAACATCTGGGAGAAGGAAGGAAACGAATTTGGGTTAAGCCGATTGAGTGCTTAAGTGATGCATATCTCTATTGGGACCGGTACTATAGATGTAGCCGTTATAGCAGCAAAGAAGGCGGGAAGCTTGCTGACTAGGAAAGTGCGGAAGAGGAACATTGTCCGACTGGACTCGTTACGATGGACGCTATTATAAAGGACATCGAAGGCGGCTGTGGTAAGGTCTATAACGAGAGCTTCTTGATGACCCTGAAAAGCAATTTCAGTTAGGGGGCTGCATGATTCTCGACAAGGATGAGATGGGAGGAACTTGGGCCGAATAAAACTCACTTTATCGCGGTTGGTGAGGTAGTTGATCAACATGGAATCATCTACTAACGGGCGTCCCACAAGCTTGGCCAATATTAGCATTAAAGCTAGGAAGGATTTTCAACGGGACTTACCATGGAATTAATATACACGTAGAGCCTAGCTCTAGTGTTGATAACTGGCCCGTTCATCACCGAAGCCTCGAATTGGAGGGTACTGACATTCATGCCCTCAATTGTTGGATGATCCAATTGCTTGGTGAGTTGCTCCCCATACTGTGATAGGTTAAACTCCTTCTGTAGCGCGTCCAGTCGATGCCGCAGCGGGAGAGATACATCGACACACAAAGGTATATACGAAGCCAGGGCCTGACCCAGCCTTGTTTTCAAACCTGACAAAAGAGTTAGTTAGCACGAAAATTTCACGATATGAATAACATGAATACTAGGATGACCGCGTCATACCTTGATGATAGTCGCTGGACAACGTCGCCAACCCCTTTTAAGGGGTGGTACCAGACAAAGCGGCAAGTAAAATACCAAGCGACTCGAACAAGGAAACCGCATCAGGAGAACCCATTATCCTACCCTTTTGCTGCGAGATACTCTTATTGTGCTATCCGACAACAGCATTGATCTATTCGACTATCGCATCATAAAGCTCCGCCGCCTCCGCAATCATTCTTGGGGTTGCACCCGCCGAAATGGAAAGTATGACATCTTGGATGACCTTGATATCTGTCATCAAAGTTGAGGCCTTGTACTTTGCTTCCGACTGATGACGAATAGACGAATGCGCCAGCAGTCGTCGCAATGCTGACGCTGGCTTGACCTGGCCGACCTTGCAGAGACCATCCACGTAACGTCCCCTAGCTATGGGAGCCGGTAGATCTATGTGATAAACCAAGTATTAAACGACGCAGATGGATAGACTGCGCAGCTAGTACCCGTGTTGTTGCAATTCACCCTCGAGGGAGGAAGGAGTGAGTCTACTACCCCCGCCAATCATCAGCATCACTGCGCCTCCATTATGCATCTAACTAGCTACGGATTACTTAGTTTGGAACGCTGGCCCCTTATGCTAGCCCGGAGCACAGTCAAAATTGACCCAGAGCAATTCTCCGTAGCGTGGCCGATGATTGGCCACGTTCTAGAACTAATCTGTGAAGCTCGGGCCTAGATATCACATAGACCCCAACGGGTTGTTATGTGGATTAGAGGAACGCTTGTATACCTTTAAGAGTATGTACTCAAGGGTACGCTGTTAGGTGATATGTTAATCGCCCTACCTATTAGCTGAACTGGAATCAGACTGGTTGGTAGCAGCATGGAATGTTGCAATTACTACGGGATCTGTCTCTTACCTTACTAGCTCTGGCGGCTATGCTATTACGGGTCGTTCGTTTGCTCGCCTGCGTTCTCGTGAGTAACAATCGCCCCACAGTGCCCGTGTAAGTCAAGTTGGCCCCTCCGCTCTCCTTGGTGTTGGTTTAGAAAGAGCTGTCTTCGTCTCGATTCCCCGAAAAGAAGCTTTGTCGTTGAAATGGCCCGCCGAATGGTCCGATAAACTTCACGCCTAGACGCCGCTTGCATAGGTTAGGGCGTGGAAATTCCAACGGCGTTTCTTTGTAGAGATAGTCTACTAATCTAGGATACCCCAATAACGGCCTATGGAGGTGTCCATATACACATATTTAGGAGCTCGTCGCAGCTATACACTAACTCATAGCAGGGTCCGTGTCTAAGCTGTGAACGACCAGTCCCACTCTATGAGCTGTGCTAGGGCAGTCAGGCAGACACTTTGGGGGCTGTGGATGTCGTTGGTCAACTAGCATCTCCCCAGTCGGACGCTAAGATTTAGTCGATGTGCCTTGCGTGTTTCATCATAATTTATTATTTCAAATTTCAAGTCTCTTTATCCCTTGCCCTTGCAGTTTATTTTGAGCAACCCATGCTCCGTTTTGAATTACTATTCCGCAGGTTATTCCACCTCTATTGATCCGTCTAAGTCCTCGGAGGATTTATAGAAGCTACTAACCAGGCTAAGCCACCTGGAAAGTCTTGTTCTTTTTCTCCAGCTTTTCAATCGATGAATTCTTTGTTCCTAAGCTATCATCACACATGAAGCTATTTTGTCGTGACATCTCTGGCTTTTGAAGAAGACCATTTATTTTACGACGCAACCCCATAGCCCCTTCCTATGGTATAGAAGCACTCGGTAATTTCACTCGAAAATGTCTGTTAGCTGCCGCCTACCCCAGTTTCAAAACCTCTTTGTGGCACCACTGCCATCCTCCTTGGATTCACTACCGCCGCTACCAACAACAAAGTATATTCCCCCTGCTTCAACTTCGAGTATATCATAGACTGATTTCCAAGCTCCGACCCTAATGGTACGAACCGCCGAATCAAAACCCCTTCGCCGTCTTCAACAAGTACCGAGAATCGAGTAAGCAAGGCCAAGAAAGGGAAGCGCGTGCATGCGTGTGAATACCTAGGATGCACCAAGGTTTGTTAAGGCCACCCGCGGCTCTTAATTCTCTCGCTTTTCTAATGTCAAAAGGTCTTTACACGAGCTGAGCACAGGCGACGACATGAATTGAGCCACACGAAGAAGAAATTGTATATCTGCTCATATATTGGGTGCCATAAGTCATTCCACCATACTGATTATCTGGCACAGCACATCGCACAGCAGTGAGTCCTCGACGATCTCTACCAACTAGAAGTGGTCATCTAACCGTTCTGGCAGTAGTGGTGAAATCATCTCACCGGGAACAAAGGACGCTTCACCGGTGAAGACGGACCCAGCAGCATATGCCCTACCCAGTCCTCCAACATCACAATCCTATTCATTAAAGTCGCCGATCCCACTTGAGCTTCAGTCTGCCGAGAATTGGGATAACGCGACAATCGGCAACGCCGGGCAATACATGGTCTCTCGCTCGCAGTGCTCCCAATGCCCGAATAATAAACCATGTCATAGCTATTGCACTTACTATAACAATGACTCAGCGGGTATAGATCAAATGCCCCCCTCTGCTGTTTCGAGCGTCTCAGGGCTTCTTGCAACTTACGCCCCAAGTACACCATTATCACCACTAGGACTCGATTCAGTTATAGAGCAATATATGAGAAGTACGCTGCGACCGGAAGCATTTATCACTCTGCCGCAATCCCTCTCACCACCTGGGCTACTTGAAGAACCAGTGACCTCTTCTTACTGGACGCCCAATATTGACCCCGATCTACCCCTACTGGATCCTGCGGTAAGTCATAGCTATTCCTTATGATGGGTACGCAGAATTGACACACTAATAAGTCGCATTAAGATCTTTAGCAACAATGCTTCTTATCCTAACTGGCCTTCTGGCAATTGCGATGTTTCGCCTGGCGTACGAACCCATCTGGCAGAATACTCGCCCGCCGAAGATGTTAATTCCCGTCTGACATCATATCAAATATCTTATATCTAAGTCTAGCGTCTTCTCTGATTACTTTGTGGCCTTCGCTCAGCATACTCACGTTTTCAATCGGGCTTCCTTGTTCATGTTTTTCGTTCCCGGGCTCCACCTTGAATACCCGACCTGATGCCATAATCGCATCTTGTCAGGAATAGAAGGATCGACGTGGTATCGAATCGTATAGAATACCCATAACATCCATTCATCTCTCGTTGGATTACGCGTCTCTTGCCTCCTCGGATCCATAACATCCGAGTAACGGCTGTACTCATGGGTAATTCAACCCCCATGAATTCTCGCTTGTTCGATAACACAGATAGTTATCTCATTCTTCACTCATTCAGATATTTAGCACAATCCACTTATTCATCTCATCCTTCTTCATTCTGATCCTAGGCCTCTGGTTGGCTAGTAAATCCTTTGTATTTCATGACTGAACAGCCAGATTGCTGTTAGTGTTGAATCCAACCGTGGCGTCCCGAACGGGTTACAGTGTGTGGGTGTGTGGGTGTGTGTGATTCATTTACCCTAACCCCTGGCGAACGATATGCAGGCTACGGTAGCTACCACAACTATGTATCTCAATGTACGTATAAGTATCGTGGACTACTTCCTAAACGAACTTAGAGCCTCGTCGGGGCCTGTCGTGCCCTGATAGCCATTGTTGCTTGTCTTGCTGCCCTCATGGCGCGCGGCTTCTAAATCGCTGTGACGCCTCCGCGAAGTCCAAGACAGCCTGCACCGTCTGGCACGTGAGGCACTTCCTGTCACGATTCGGAAATCAGAGGCTTCAGAGCGTTGGTGATGACGTGGAAAGGCGGTAAGGGAGGCGGAGTGAGAATTCTGCCACATGTATTTGGTAGAGATCTTGGGTCGTCTCTCACTTCTTCTCTTTTCCCTTCCCCAGCTTTGGAATTCTCGTTGAATGATACAGCAAATTCCATTTGTTTCTGATCGTGACACTTCCCCTATCTCCAGATCCTCCCAATAAGATTGACTTTCTATTTGTTAGTATCACCAGCTAGGTACTTTGTGCACAGTTAAGGGGACAGTGTTACGCTTCTAAAGCAAAAGTCAAATGATTCATGTAGATAGTTGTTGATGTCTTTTCCAGTCAGGTTCCAATACCCCTGAATGGCATACGGCCGGAGCCGCAGCTTAGCGCCAGATCACGTACACCAAGCAAAGACATGTTGTATGTTATCTTTGCTTGTTCTGACGGGAGGATATGTCCCGACATAAAGAGTTAATTATGTTTCTTTGTACTTCAAGTTTTTATATAGATAAGCAGGAGGCTAAGCTTCTTGAGAAGTTTTTCTCTTATGACGAAATAGAAGTTACGAAGGAAGAGAAGGATGAGAGCTTTAACGAGGTTGAGATAGATCATTAGTGACACTAAGGAGCAGGATACTATGATTAATAGCCAGGCAGATAAGGCAGTAAGGCAGGCGAGCCCCAGCTACTACTGACTGGGAACAGTACCTAGGTACGGGCCTCAGGACGGAAGCGTAAGAGTCGAGATGATGATCTCTTCGAGTATTATTAGTTAGATTTCATCCGAATCCTTCATCGGAGGAGCCGACCGTCTAATGAAAACATCAGATGAAAATGTCTCGCGCTTTCTTCTACTTTTCCCTAGCTTAGTCTTTCTCGTTAATCATACTCGTTTCCTGCTGATTTTGCCTCATAATAAGATCGACTTGGATTAGTTCTAAAGGAAATACTCAATATTACAGGCAAAAACCGCATAACTTATGTAGTCACTAGCCTTGGCGTGTATGCTAGCTATATTTATAACCCAAGTTAGGGCACCGGTCGGGCCGGACCCAACGCTAGGTCGGAGTCTTCGACCCAAAACCCAACCCAACCCCCGGGCTGGGGTCCGGGTTGGGTCCGGGTTATATTGGGTCGTGCGGAAGTCTAGCTCTAAGTACCTCCTTCCCGCCCGCTGGCGGTGCCGAGGTCTAGGTGTGATGGCACTTACTGTGCCGATTGACTGGCTAGATTGTCGCATCTTGTGTTGTTAACTGCATCTGTCTCTTCCGCCCCTAGAGATATGCGTTTGCTCGCGTTTCCTATAGCTGTCTCGGACTCTCGTGTGTCGTGTGGTCAGATG